ATAACGATTACCAATTTTTTTATGCTTGCAAAGTACATCATTGTCACTATGCCTTTAAATAGAGTCGCTACTAAATCTTCAAATTTTCAGAATACTAACATTATATATATATAATATACATTCTAATTTTTGTTATGTCCAACTAAATGGCTGTTTATCAAAAATAAATACTAAAATATATGAATGTAAGTTTGCACCTATTTACGTTACTGTTTCAGCAAGACAAAGTTTTCTATCATGACATAATAATTTCTATACTTCAGAACATATCTGAAACCACCAAACAATTAAAGTTATAAATTACACCCTAAATCATGTTTTCATACATAAAGTGTAATCTTTTTTCAAGTTTTAAATATAATTACAATTAACAAGCAGCAGAAATTGTAGGGCACTTTGTAGGAACCATATCCAGCATTTAGTCTTTTTTTTTTTTGGAAACCTACAAAAATATGCATTATGTCATGAGGAATTCAGATGTGTACTCCAATTGATAAGGAAATCATGATTGGTTTTTGTTAGTAGAGTTGGGCTATTTTTCACCTTAATCGACCAATGATCATGGTATTGTTGTACGACATTATCTAGGGAACACTAACCATTTCTGAATTTTTTGTGAAACCTGTGAGGAACTACTGAGACAACAAGCCAGAATTTCTGAGTGTTTGTTCTTGTTGAGATAGATATGAGGTTGGATTCAAAACAAACCTGTAAATTTCCAAAGTGGTACAAGTATAGCAACTGGGGTATGTGATCATAATGGCACACCATTTGCTCATAAAGTTAGCCGTAAGAGAGATCAGAAGAGCTTTGATGGAGGAGCTATCAAGCACCCAAAGTGAAGTACATCTGCTTACTGAAGTGGTAAATAGATGTATCCAACAACTTGCCCCAAATGGGCAATTCAGCATGTTGGGAATCTTAACATCTCACCAATGTGAAGAAGGAGACTGATTCAAGATCAGTTAAAGAATGAAGAATACAAAAAATATTAGGAATTACAACTTACACAAATGGAAAAAAAAAGAGCAAGAAACATTTCTATCTTTTTAATAACCCTGTAAATCTTAGTTTCATTGAGAAGTTGGCCATTTTTCTTTTTAACAAGCAATATCTGACTAAACAGAAAGAAATATGACTAAGTGTGAGATACATGGCTGTTTAGGACATGATCCAGGGATCATTTTGCAATGATGTTTTTCTTTGATCTCAGAACAAGGTGTTTCTATTCTACCAAAGTGAATCACCTGCATACTGTGGTCATGCTATTTTGCCATTATATGCTGAATCCAAAAATGATATCCATTTTTCTCCATAATCACAGATTTTTCACAAAACGTCATATGTACTTTTACATAAGTGAATAATTTTCATTGAAATCGGGTCACATTTTGTTATGCTTAAAATGTTGACAACCACTGGCGCTAGATTTCTCTAGACCAATCGCAACGTGAGAGTCTTATCAATCATTCTAGAACCCAGACATAATAGTAAAAAATGTTCATTGTGGTAAATGAAATAATAATTGACCTAAGTAAGTTTTTTTTCTTCCCAATTTGTAAAAAAATCTTTAAGTGATAGAAAAAAAATGAATATTATTTTCAAACTCTGCATACTTTGAATTATGGAAAATCTGTTATTAAAACCAAAACAACTTTTATGAAGTTTAAATTAGCAGGTCTGTGTTACCAATAAAAATTTTTAATCAAAATGAATTAAAGATAAAGTAGAAATTTGAATATAAGGAGTCCTAATTGTTATTCAACTTTTGTCACATTAAAGGAACTTCATGAATAACAGATTGCAGTTTCATGAATTACTGTATAACGTAAACATTTCAAGACAATAAAACCATTGCAGGCCTGTGTTACTGCAGTAACAAATAAAAACTGGTCATTTTAATAAACTCTTGCAAAAGAGGCAATTCTGGTGATGTGGGTATCAATATCTTGGAATGCCAAATTATAATTTTTTCTATTTATTCACACGGAAAAAATATTTCTGCACTTTTTACCTTCAATGTTCTGTTTAAACATGTAGTATGTTACCCAAAATAAAATGACTTTTTATGCTCATAAATCATTGTTTCTCAATTTACTATTTCTAAATATGATTTTCTTTGAGAAAACTACCGCTGTTTATTACAAAACAAGGAAAACGAGAAATTGTACAGCTTTTCCCTCTTATCTCTCTTCCAAGAAAATCTGTTGAAAAGCACCATTGTATGTTGTTATTCTTTACTGTGGTAATAATCAAATAATTTTTCTCTGTCCTTTGCAATTTTATAAGCACTGTTTTTTTAAAATAATAGATACTGGCTTTGTAGAATGAAGAAAATATACAAAGTAACTTCACAACTAATTCTCCTTTTTCATCCAATTTACTTTGCAGGATTATGATATATTAATGCAATATCCCATTCCTAATGTTAGAATTAATAGAATGAATGTTTAAAAATATCAGTCTTGATTGAAAAGGTTTATTACTTTATTTGAAATACCACAACATTTATATATAACAGATTTTCTTCAAAGGAATTAGATGACTCTCAAAGGTAAAAATTACATGCTAATGGTATCTAAATAAAGAAAGAAAAAGACTATTCCAGGAACACACAAAACTCACAGTATGATGGATCATTAATTAAATGACACTCCTTTCCAGATAATGTTAAAATGTCTAAGGACATTTACGTGCAAACAACTTTTTTTTTTGTTTAAAGAAATACAATCAAACATAAAAACAACAATAGACTCACTAGTCTGTTAAGATGATTTAATAATGTTTAGTATCTACTCGTCGATCCTCCCATATAGCGGGTTCCTCCATAAAATCCTCCAACACCGGAATGAGACATGGGGCCAGAACTACTGTACATACTTGAGTGAGGTTGCTGTGACATACCTTGACCTGATGTACCCTGCTGACTTCGTGAACTATGAGAGTTTCCCGACCCCATGCTCCCAACCCAACGGCTACCTTGACCATTTTCTGATCCTCTCCACTGGTTCTGGGAAAATCCTACCTTTCTAGACTCTGAGCCCCAACCACTAGATAGACTTCCTGAACCTCTATCAGCATTCCAGGATCCTCCTCGACCTCCACGATAAGATCCCCTTTGACGACCCCAGCCTTTGCCTCTTTCGAAGAATCTACCCCTGCGAGCCTGGCCTTCTTTATCATATGTTGCAGACTTCCACTCCTCTTTTGGACCCCTGTGAGTTGCTTCCCTCTCTCGAGAAGTGTTGCTACGGCCTACCTCTTTGTCATCGTGTCTCCTGAAATCTTCTCTGGATGCAGATCTATCATATTTTCCAGACTTGTCTGATCCTCTGCGTTCTTCTCTATCATTGCTACCTGATACCCGTCTTGACTCTCTATACGTAGTTAAAAAAATCTGATTTTACTCATTTCCAAAAATTTCTGTTTTAAAAATAGTAACTAGTGTTGGAGCCCCCCCCCCCCCATTACAATATAAAAAATTATTTAATCCAGTAAATAATAAGTTAGTTAATGATTCTGGTATTTGATAAAAATGCTTTTATTAATCTGCAAAACCTTGTATAATAATCAAAGAAAAGGCCCACAACTTAACAGTACATGATGAACATATTAACCCTATAGATATGGGTTTAGTTAGTTCGATCGACTTGTAACTACCAGGTAACCATGTGTATTTCTACTTTATTAAAGGAGCTGAATATTTTAAGACTGTATCAAAATATAAATATTACCTGGTGGAACTCTCGCCGTGAAGGGGCTCATCACGGTCAAAATGGGTAGCAATGGCAGGTCTTTTTCTGTCTTCCCAATAATTGTCGGAGTCACGGTTATGCTGGTCTAGATTTCTTTTGAATCCACGCCTTGGTGCATCCATTCTACTGAATGAGAAACTATAAAACTCAAACTAGATTGTGAACAAATGTTAAAAATATTTTTATTAACATTCTTTTAATCAAAATATAGCACCATTTTATTGCCTCTTAATCATATAAAACCCTATATTTTTATTTTTTGAACTAATATATATATTTTGAAATAAAGAATTAATATATCTTGAGTTACAGAAGAATATTTTTTTTTTTTTTTTTATTCAAGTATAGTAGCTTCTATACAAATAATAAAGTATTTTATATGTAATTGATTTCAACTAATACAATACTTATAATCTCCCAACAGAGCAACTGGACACAATAAATTCTGAGATTTAATTTCAACGAGTTTCTTCTCTTCTCACAAACTAGTTTTAATGCTAATACAGTCACTAAATATCAGCATTTTATGTCTGCAAATAAGGCCAACAATTTACACAACAAAGACTACTTCCAAATATTCAATAACGTATAAAACACAACAAGTTGGGGGGGGGGGGTGTACCCACAGAACAAATAAACTGCAGATTTATAACACTTCACAAAAGTATGTATGTATGTATGTACATTGAAAACTAGCACTGTAGTGCTTAGACTGTATTGAAGCTAATTTTTATAGTTTTATTTAAATGTAATGATAAGTTTAATTCTCACATTAAAATTATTTACCACAGGGAACATTTTTATTCAATATCAATAATACCAAATACTTAAGTAGTAGTTTATAGTTAACTGCCATATTTTACAAAAGATTCATAGCATATCTTGGTAAAATCAATAACCTGAAATACTGTCTTCGTCGTAATTCCTCTCTTTCTCTTTCTAAATGCTCCCTTTCCATTCTTTGTTTTTCTCTTTCCAATCTTAAAATTTCAGCACGTTCCCGATCCAACCTTTCACGCTCAATACTAGTAATAAAAACATCAGGTTGCATGTTTTAACTAAAAAAATTCACAATTGCTATACAACATGCTATAGCAGTTCAATTACTTTCATAACGTTTTTGTACAAGTTATAATACATATATTTATATATATATGGATATACAAACACTAATTAATAAATATTTTTAAAAAGAATATACTATGCTTAGACACTTCGTTAAAAGTTCTAAAACCTGAATCTCCTTTATTCAGTAAATATTTCATCTTTTTATTGATAAGACCATTAAGAAAGAAAAAACTAATGTCAAGCATATACACACTTGTCACCTTGTAGGATTATCTGGCAGGGTATGTATGGCAAGAACTTTCATGCACTTTTCTTGACACACACACACACATTACAATTTCCATGACCAAAATATAAGGTCACGCATGATCCATTTAAGTAAGAAACCATAGGCCTAAAATTTGAGATAAAATTAAGAAACTGTAAACGTTTTTTTTTTCACATTCCTCTTAACTTCTCCATATTGGCTTTTGGCGTTTCATCCGTTAGATTGGAGAGTAAATGTTTTGATAGAATATGTAGTAAAAGTAGGTGTTACAGGTGAAAATAGATTTTTAAAAGTAATACATCACCTTCAGTGTTTATTGCCTAACACTCAAACACATGCACAATGGTATATGGGATACTGGATATCTTTTAGGTTGATATTATAATACCTCTTAAAATACAGCAACATTCTTTCAAAGATTTTTGAATGGTTAATTCAGTTTCGTGTTTTACAGTGATTTTATTTATCTCCCAGCATCATGCAGATTCCAGTAATTTATCATTTCTGCTACAATAACAAACTGAAGAAGTTTTCTCAACATCCAAAACTATATGTTAAGCTTGTACATTGTTGAATGTTTAGAAACAATGAAGGATTTATTCATTAATCAGTCACATGTTACAAAAATTCTATATACACTTTTCCAGACATGTTATTCCAACAGGCCTATTTTTTTTTTTTAATCATTCCAGACAATTTAGTATAGTTGTACATGTTCATAAGCGTGTTTATGACAATGATGGAGCCTTAAGTGTTATAGCTTGTATCTATAGCTATGCAGTCATTCAAATACTTTGCAACCAGCCAAGGGAATATTATTTTAGTGTTATATTTACATGTAGATATATTAACATAAAAATGAAACTTAAATGCTGAAGTACCAAGTTAAAATACAAGGTTTTATTAACTCTTAGTAACACCTTTGAAGTTTTAAGATGGTACTACAGCCTGTAAGTTTCTTTTTACATTAAACCAAAATAAACAAATAATCATATCTCATTTTACTTATTATGTAAATGCATACTAAGCCAAAGTAAAAACACAGTACTTTGAATATTCTACAAGAAGCCTAAATTTTGAAAATATAAAAATTAGAATAACATCAATTTATTTTGTAAAATAAACTTTTGATAATTATAACTTTACCTTGCAAAGTTTGAAACCTTTAGGAAATGAATAAGGAGAAAACTAGAAAATTTGTCCATTTATGGCAAAGTTGCTATGAAAGTCTACCCGCTACTGTCCCTTATTTTGAACTGTCAACCAACTGCATGTGGGATTGACTGTCACATTATAACACCCTCTCAACTAAAAGTGCAAGCATGTTTAGTATTGTTTTTAAGAGGATGATCGTAACATTTCATCACATTACATAAGTAAAAAACTTGTAATTTGAAACAGTAGTTCTTGTTTCAAATGTGTTTTAGGAATGCAATGGTGCTATTTATTTGCATTTTATTAAAATTTCCTGTGTATATAATGCATAATTCTGAATAAGCATGATCTTGGGCTATCAATAATGAAAATGACACTTGATTAGCATTTCTGAGTGAATGTAACACTCTCCATACGGGTAGGTCAAAGTGTGCATGTCACAATCTTTTGCAGAGTTACATTCAAAATTTAATTAAACTACTTTATTATCTGTTTGTACAAATAAACTTGGCATCATAATGTAGTAAATAAATCAAAGTTTTAATATCGTACAAGTTTTAGGTTCTTAATTTTGTAAGCAAATACTTAAAAAATCCTCAGTCTCCCCTAGTATGAAAATTGTGACGTTTGTTCTCTAGGTCTTCCCTCTTCACTTAATTAATTTACTACCCATCTAAGAAGTACAGAATTTAACATAAATTACTCATTATAATATAGATGTTACCAAGGTAAATCATAATTTTTATAGCCTTCAACCTCATTTGTTTATGGAGCCATAAACTAGAAAATTAGACCCTTTTTCCACCCCCACTCACCATGTCTTCTTTTTCACAAATTGCCACTCATTCTTTCTGACATTTTATGCTATATCATTTATAATCATTAAAAAGGCACAGATTTAACTTATCAAATGATGTATAATGGTACATTGTTTTCAGTATAGAATATTTTCAATTCCATCTTCAGGTTGAGAGATAATCTCACGGTGTTCAGATCATAAGGTTAAAGGGAAATATTTTAAGCCCCTCTTGTTCTGGTTAGAAAGCCAGATAAATTATAATAGTTATAGAATATTCTTTACTTTGTGCATATTATTAATCTGTGTTCATACTAGTACCATCATTATAAAAAATTAGTCTGAAA